GACCATGACAACATCCTCCCCCTTTACACTCACATCTCCCCATTCCTCACCCAAACCTCTGCTTCGCCAGCTCCCTCAACCCCTTCATAACACCCTCCTCCCGCTCTCGATACTCCCTAACCCTCTCCTCCCGCTCAGCAGCCCTCGCCCTCGCAATCTCCTCCCTCCTAACCTCCCGTTCCGTCTTCTTCCTCTCCTCCCTCGCCTTCATCGCCTTCAACTCGGCAAAACTATCACCGCCGCCCATGAGCTCCTGCTCGCCCACCTCCGCCACCCCACCATCCCCACCTAACCCCTTCTCCCGAAACTCCTTCATCTTCTCGTTGACCGCCGCCCTCTTCTCGAGCTGCCTCTCCCGCGTCCCCGCCTCCGCGCGCGGGGCGACGTCGTCCAGCCTCTCCCGCTGCAGCTTCCTGTCCTCTTTCCGAGCCTGCCGGAGATCCGACGCCCGCGCCGAGCGGTCGCGCGCCGCTTCCTCGGCGAGGGTCTCGCGCTGCAGGGAGAGGTCTACCATGTTGGGGATCCCGGGGCCGGAGCGCTGGCCGGTACCTCGCGAGGTGGGCGGTAACCTCGGTCCAAGATCATCGTCGTCATCGTCATCTTCCTCGTCGTTACGATCCCCATCATCCTCCTCATCAGTCCTCTCCCGGTTGTAATCTCTCTCCTCGCTCCTCTCCACCACCTCCTCTCTCCCCCTCCCATCAGAGCCCCGCGAAGGAAGCCCCTCAATCCCGACCTCGAGCGCCCTCTCCTTGGCGGAGACAAACATCTCGGGATCATACCACCCCTGCGACAGCTCCCCGCGGTTCCACTTCCCCACGAAACTCTTCCACCGACCCCTCACCTCCCTCTCGTCCATCTCGCGAATGTCCTTTTGCTTCTGCAAGTCGAGATAATACGCCAACAGCGGCCGAAACACCTCCATCTCCGACTTGCCCAGTTGGCGCGCCTCATACGGCAACGACGCTGCCGCAGCAGCCGCCTTCTTCTCTTTCGAAGCAGTGCCGCCCCCGCTGGCAGTGTCACGCGGCCCATCCCGGTGCCGACGATGATGATGATGGCGTCGATGCCTGTGTCTCGAATCCCGATCCTCCGGGTCATCGCGGTCGCGGTCGCGGCGGCTGCCGCCGTCGTCTCCGCGGGGAGATCTCATACTCCGCTCCCGACGCGAACCGCCCTCGCCGACGGGTGACCTCCGCCTCACTTCGTCCCGGTGCCGTCTCGGCGACCTGGACCGGGAGCGGGCCCGTCCGTATCTCCGCTCCTCACCCCTCCGCTCATCCGAGCGCTCGTCGTCTCCGGCCATACTTCAGAGGACGAATTGACGTTCAAATGAGTGAGTCGCGCTCTCGAGCAAGGATGCGCCAAGTTGGGATGAGATTAAGATGAAAAGATCCACGATAAGGCACCCTCGTTGACACACCACACGCAAGACCCTTCCTTGCCTGTTTGCGACACGTCCTTCTCGAAAGAAGCTCGGAAAACAAGCTTTTCTCCTTGCTTTTGGGGTTCGTTCCCAAAAATGTGACAAGCAAGGTCGCACGTCAGATATCTCTTGACAAGGATGGCGACTGTTCTTTCCCCAAAGAGAAACTTGACAAAGTGAGGTAGTAGGTGTGTGGGGTAAGGATTTCTGGTCCGGACGTCGAATTGTGGCCGTCTCTTTGTTTGACCACAGTTTCAGGCTGCGAGAATCTGCCGCGACGGTGAAGCCGATCAGCCGAAATTGGCCTGCGCACCCAAAGGAAGGGGGTGGCAATATTCGGAGGATGCCGAATGGGGTTGATTATCCAAGGTGTATTTTGCGGCGGTAGGTAATGAAGAAGCTCGAGAGGTGAGGAATTGTAATGGTGCTAAATATCAAAGTACGATACGGTGGCTGCAAGGTTGGTCGTTTGCGGTGATGTTGTTGTACGAGAAGTTGACGTCCGTGCCTCCTGACGGCAAGGAAAAAGTTGGAGACTCCCCTGGTCTCGCGGCGTGGCTGCCCTGGGGACCGGAGCGGTGGGTACCCCAACTTCGGCGCCGGAAGGCAGCACACACCGTGCCGAGTTCCCCTCTCCTGCCCACGACAACTCCGAAAGTAATGTCTGAATTACGGCACTTGAGTCCGGGTTCTATCGTCTGTCAATTTCGAGCTGTCTCAGCCCAGTGTAGGTATTTCTCAGCTCATTCTTGACTTCACTGTGAACGGTACGCGAGGGAAGTGTTGAATGGTTTCTGTTTCGATTTCAATCACCGGATCGTCAAACGTTCTATGAACGAGTATTTATTCTATCAGTACTATGATGCGGCCAGTAGAGGGTATCGTTCCAAACACCGCGTATGCAACTCGAAAACGGCTGAACAATGCCGACCTTCCAAAAGACTCCTTCGTATCCACCGTCGAGGGTAAAACATTCCGCAAAACCTAATCCTTTGCGGACCCCAGCTCGACACACCCGAACACCCCTCATCCTGACTCGGGCATGGGCGAGTTATTGTGTATCGAGCAGCCAAGGCACTGACAATCGTCGCCGCATGGACATGACGACGTCTCGCCAGCGCATCCGTCACCGTTGAACGGGTATGTCACGAAGAAGAAGTCGTTCGCCGAAAGTGCCTGCTCTTCACTCAACACTGAGGCTCCATCGGAAGGTGTTTGCGGCCCAGCAGGAGAACCGCTGTTTTCGCCATTCGTATGTGCATCCATTCCGCGGGCGCCAGTCCCGTTGGTCGTTGCCGTCTCCGAGTGCCCATTCGTGCCGTTCGTGCCGTTCGTACCATTCGTCATTCCATAAGAGTCGTCCAGCATACTTGTGTATGCAGATCGCACGTAGTCTTGTGTCGCATCGTTGTAAGGGTGAGCTGCGCAGCCCACACACTGGCAGCCGTCGCCACAGCTGCACATGTGTGATGTTGATTCGGGCATCATTGGGGTTGTACCATCTGGGGTAAAAAGCGAGTTCGGCATGCCGTATGCGGCCGGCGGCGGGATTGGTTGACCATACTGCTGCGCCTCCATCTGCTGCTTCCACTGTGCAGGCTGTAGCGGTGACATCCAAGACCCGTATTGAGGCGGATATGTGAAAATTGTTGGTTGGAAGTATGAGTTGAACATGCCTTGGGGCATGGCGGTAGGTGTCTGGAAAGGCGACATGGCTATGGCGCTCGACGGCGACATATGGCCATTCGACATGTGATGTACGTTTGTGTCTATCGCAGGTGCCTTGCTAGAGCAACAACCGCCCTTCTTAGGCTTTGCTTGCGTCTTGGGGCTCGAGCTGACACTAGAAGGCTGTGTAGAGCTCCCTTCGGCTTTGCTTGGCCCTGAGCAACATGAGCCACCCGTGCTGGTGCTCGTCAACGAGGGCGGAGGGGCGGGCTTCGGTGTCCCATTTGTCTTTCCTGAGCAGCAAGATCCCCCATTCGACGCCGCTGCCATCGGAGTAGGCGTTGTCGCAGTCTGTGGCTTGTTGATGGCTGATGGTACGGCATTTGGCTGAGGCATCGACATCGCGGCTCCCGGGGGGAACAGGGGCGCAGACATCTGCTGTGGGAACATTGGATACATGATGGGTTGGTGGAAACCGCCGTTAACGCCGCCCATCATGGTCATACCGCCGTACTCCATCCCATTTCTAGGTGCGGGCATACCCGGTATGCCACCGTTGGCTTGTGGCATGTGATTCGCTTGGGCCATGTCGTATGGCGGCAGTATGTTGATATTGGTGGCATCCATCCTCTCGAGGTTCACGGGGTCGAACGACTGCTTGCGACTGGCCGCCTTCGGGGCAGACTTTTGTATGCGAAAGGAGGCGGCGGATGCCTTGGTCGGAGACATTGGCGGGACATCGCTCGCCGGCGATTCTGCCTTGATGACACTGGGTGATTCTGCGGGGGTTCCGGCGTTGCTGGAACCGCAGCCGCATTTCTGCTTTCTCGGGATGGCGGCCGTTACACTACCACAGCCGCAACCGCGAGAGGGTGGATGAGGACATGTGCTCAAAGGTCTGCCGGGCTTTCGAACGGGGACCATCAAGCGTTCATTCGCATGGGTGCATTTGGTGGAGCGATGACCACGGATGCATGGCTCGCTAGAGGGCGAAGGGTGAAGTGGTCAGCTCAGGGTCCTGCGGAAAGCGGGATGCGGGATGCGGGATTCCATCGATGCACAGAGAAATCGCAAGTCATGACCGTAGTATGACGAAGGAAAACACGACGAGGAGAAGACGAAATGATGGAGGACAGGAACGGAAGGAATAGGACGTTGCGACTTACCAAGCCATCTTCTGGCCGTTGATGAGCGGCATGGTGGGCTGTGGTGGGGGTGGCTCTCAAGGTTGCTGTGATACGTGAGAGGAGGTAGAGATTTTGGCGATCTTCCAAGTTGCGGTAGTGTCTCCGGGCTTCTCTAAAAAGGTAATTGCAAAAGTAAAAGCTGCGATGAATGTCGCTCGCTCAGGCTTCGGCCCCAATAGACCTCGGACGGTGGGAGTGAGCGGCGGCGTGGAACATGAAGGCGGGAGCCAGCTCTCAAGGTGCGGCGGCGGCGTTCGTCGAGTCTTGGTTCTGGTCGTTCCTATGGTTCGCGGTCGCTGCTGGTCGGTCTCTCTGGTGGGCTTGTTTGCGACGCAGGCAAGCAAGCTATGTATCCGGCGACGATGGGTGAAATCGGCTCAGCGGGCAAGAAAGGCCATGTGATGATCGAGCGGGCGCCGGCGGTAAGGTGAGTCGTCGGGGGCTTCCAGCGCAAAGCAAATCGGTAATGATGTCGAGGTGAGAAATGCAGGATTGCAAGAGCTGGAAATTGGCGAGAGAAACGAGCGGCGTTTCGAGCGTGAAGAGGTTTAAAGCTGCGCGCAAAGGCCGGGGGGTCGTAAGGAAGGGCAGGTTTCTGGGTATTGAATGAAATGGAAGTAGACGGGACTCTGAGAGAAGCGCCGGGTCGGCAAAGCAGTGGGATCGTTGCTACCTTTACCTTAGCTGCCCTGGTACCCAAGGTAAGGTATCCGTAGTGCTTAGTGTGTGGTGTGTGGTGGTCGGTGGTCAGGGAAGACAAAGTCACAAAGGCGGGTTAGCAAAGGGCAGAAACAGCGACGGTCCATGGGAACAGGAAACGGCCCAGTGGACCGTTTGAGGTGGAAAGGACGTCGGCGTCGGGGGAGACGGGGTTTGGCCTGTACGAATAGTCCACTGCGACTGAGGAAGGAACAAACACGGTCAACACCAGTAGCACCTGCTCGAGTCGAGTTAAGGTACCTTTGGGTAGGTGACTTGAAGAGCAGTCAAGGCAGGTCCCTTCTTTCCTCTCTCTCTTCCTCACTCCTTCCCCCGACCCGAATTCAGCAAGAGGTACAACCATTGAACCACCTCATACAGGTAGGTAGGCACTTGCCTCCTCTCGGGTAGCCTTGGGTCCCTGACCAGCACTAGCGGCCCCTATGCTCGATGTCCTACCTTGGTCCTTGGCATCGTCTAGTCCAGCCCAGTGTGAGCCTGTGAAGGTGAGTGAGTTCCAGTTCCGAGCCACCCCAGCCAGCAGCGGCAGGAGGAGACGCCCAAGAAAAGCACGAGCAGTGGACAGCGGCGGTGGGCGTGGGCAATGGATGGGGCGCGGCGGGCGGGAGGGGGGTGAGCGAGCCAGGTGAGGGACGGCATCCCGGTAGCGCATCGAAACAGCCCCACGTGCGGGGGGGTTTACTACATGCCTCGCTCGCTGTCCGCCGCCTGCTTCACTTTCTGCCTTGCTCGGATACTCGACGCATGGATGACAAAGATAATTCAGTGAGGGTACGAATGCCGTACAGATACCGAAATCTCAGTGCCCCAGTGACAAGTTTGCCTACATCAGTATCTGCGATGAAAGCCCGGGCGGGAAGAGGGGTCTGTCTGCAGCTCTCATCACAGACGGCATGTCATGTCTGTCCGTACACCCAGAACCACTGGACAGGTACATACAGTACATAGATACCCTTTCCGGCTATGCCACCTCAACCTCGTCTTACAATCCGAGCCCAATCATGTCCATGGTCCCTCACTGCCAACCTCAATGCCTCATAAGACTTGAACATGGGATGATTCTAGATGGTCCTGACTATCCATCTCTCTTCGTCACTCTTGTTCGGAGCAAGCTTTTCTGACGGCAACTTTCTAACCAACTCTAAGGCACGTTATCCAACACGATAGCAGGGCCAACCCAGCAGCACCACCACCAACCCAGGAATTTCTGCGTCTGCTTAAAACGGCAAGCCGGGCGCGGTTGGGACTTTACCTCAAGCCCGTAATCTATGGCCTGGACGCGGCGCGCTTCCCACGTTGACATGGCGTTCGCCGCAGAAGCGTCCCGAGCGTCTATCTCCCTCACTCTCGGTGGGCTTCTTAACCAGATAGAATACCTACCAGCACAAGACATGCCGCAACGCATCGGAAAAGGGAAAAATAAAGAAAGACGTGAGAGAGATGTGGCTGACTAGCAAGACAACGCTCCCGGCCATGAGAATAAGCCGCGTGCTCTCCCTTCTTCTGCCGGGATATGCTGCCCAACTTGATAAGAAGCTAACTCTGGATCGCCGTTTAGTACCGAGTTCCCGTTTTCCCTTTACCCTCCGTAACCCAGTCTGTCTCTTTACACAGTACATGAGAATATGGGAGCAGGCCCTCAGGGTCATATTTCTTCTTCATGCCATTCTTGCATCTTGACATGTCGTCGTGCCCCCCCATATCGATTGTAAGCTCCGTCATCAGAGGAACTGTAAGATCATGTCAAGGGTCCAGACTCTTGAGATCCTGTGCGACCACACATGCACTCACACTCACACTTACTCACACATTACGGCTGACCGTCTGACTGGGCTCATCCTCTCACTCCCGCGAGTCGGTGCCGAGTCCGCGGTCGGCCCAGACTCAGGCTCCCCCCTTCCAGGCTCCAGGCCGGGAATCAGGTCACCTACGAAAAGAAAGTCGGAACTTTTCAGGAAACTCATATTGCCTACTGTGAAAAGTACATCGAACATCGATCTCATGTACGACTTGAATCCGATTCTGTGTCTTGAAAGGTCTCGCCACGGTCCAGTAGTTCACTCATCCTCCCCGTGTTAGTGGTTCAGCCAACGACAACCCGCACGGATATCGCGCGCGCACCGATTTTCCCAAGGCTCAAAGCATTCCGAGAACCCCCATAAATGAATTTGTTTTCCCACGGCCAGGCTCTCTACATCAGGAAACTCGAGCGCGGGGACAAATCCATGGGCAGATAGAAAAGCGAAAAAAGGGCGAGGACTACCGTAAGAGGGTGGGAGCGAGCAAGTAAAAAAAAAAAAAAAACCGACTACATACTCCACCGTCAGAGGCTCGAGAGGCAAGGGAAGTGAGCAAGTTTTGATTGGCCGGATCCGGGCAAGCACCACCAAAAAGTCACAACGAGACGGTCGTCGAACCAGACCACCCCTCTCTCGCTCTCTCTCTCTTTCTACAAGCCTACCCAACAAGAAACCGCTTCACACGAAGAATGCGTATCCATGGCTGTGCAGAAGTAGCGCTCCGAAAAAAGGTACCCCGTGGTGGGACACTTTGTGATGTAACCTGTGTGCCTGTGTCGTTGGCATTAAGACGGCTTCTCTCTTCATTCTCCGCCGCAACTTGTGGCGCGGGGCTAGATATATGTTGCTGAAAGTGAGGAAGGGAGAGATCTCTGTAGAGGCAATATGTAGACGGCTCGTCAATTACTGCCCTCACCTTCAGGCCAAGGTGAACCCGCCAACCGACGCTTCACTTATGCCGTCATATCTCGTCCCTTTCATATATCCATCCCCATGGACTTGTGTGCCCATCACCCTTTATGCATTGCCATGCCGCACTCTCTCTAAGCGGCTTCGGGCAGCCCAAACTTGGACGGCCGCCCTGTCGTCCTTCTGCAGGACGGCTGCCATATCCCCCTCCCACATATACCCCGTCCCGCTCACGGCCCAGTCAAGACACATGCGTTTACAATACTATTCTTCAGATAAACCCTGGATCTTCATAGGGTGAGCAGTTTTTATCAATCGTCCAAGCCCGCCGTCTCGCCCCTGGTGTCGTCTTGGCCTACTTCAAGAACCAGCGCCTGCGTCCGCCACGCGCGCTTAGTTTCCCTCATCCGAATCCCCAGAGTCAGCAAACATGTCCACTGCTCTCATCCTTTTCCGAGGCTGTCCCTTCGGCTGGCTTGATAATTGCAAACGTCCAGCAGTGGGGGCGTCGTCAGTCTTCGCGGCCTCTGCCGTTCCTTCTACCTTGCTGCTGGCCTCGCCTGACGGTGACTGATCCTTTGCCGTTTCGGTTGCGTCCTCTTCCATCGGCTCCCCCTCGACATCATCATCCACCATGGGCTCACCCTCCACATCCTCCTCGCTCATTGGTTCGCCCATGACATCGTCCTCTTCCATGGGTTCACCGGCAACATCCTCCTCGTCCATTGGTTCGCCTTCGACATCCTCCTCCTCCTCCTTGTCAGCTGTTGGCTCTGGCGCTCTCTGATCGAGGGTCCTCGTTATGGCAACATCGGCGGCCGGCATCGATGACTTCTCAACCACCTTCCATCTACCCTTCTTGGCTGCGTCATCTTCGATCTGCTCTTGCGTCTTTAAAGATGGCGGGTTTTCGAAAGTTTTGGCAAACAACTCCTGACTCTCCGTTGGGAAGACACACCAACCTTCCCAGAGGCTCAGAACTAGACCAACGCTTCGTTTCCACTTCTCAGCCCGTAGTCGGCCCCAGTTTAGCTTCTCAGCCATCAGCCCCAGACCCTCAAAAATATTACGCTCTTTGAGTGCTCCTTCGAAGATTTGTCGATACCGCCAAGCACGCTGAATACCGCTACTAGATGAGGCGGATAGCACGTCGCTGACAACGTATAGGCCCACAAGGCTTGCGCCGCTCGTGTCAGGGCCCTCCTTCTCGGCTTTCTCTTCCGGCTCAGCTTCAAGCGGCTCTGAATCGTCCCTGTGTCTTCCCTTCTCTTTGCCATTCGACTGAAACTCTGGGTTGGCCGCCGTTAGTGCAAAGGGCTTCTCAACATTCGAGACGATCATGTCGACGACCTCTTTCGCACCCCGGCTTGCGTGCGTAAGCGCAAACGCTGTAACTCGGGCGACATCTCCTTTCCGAATCTTGGATAAAGTTGTTGGCAAACGTGATAAGAGATGGGTAAGCTTTGCTTTGTCGAGGGGATTTAGGAAGGTAGCCTCTGCTTCAGGCCCCTGAGTCTGATTCTCGCGGTTCTCCCCGTCAAAGTCCTCGTCGTCTGAGGAGTTATACTCCGAGTCGGATACAAATTCGTCAAGTTCTGTGACAAACTCGAATGGCAGACCTTTCTCTGGAGCTTTCCAGGCATGGCTGCCGTCGAAAAGCGGTAGATACCGTCCCTTGTTACTCCGAGAAGACGCTCCCGTGACGATCTCCCATAACCGCCATCGGTACCAGATGCCTCCTTCGCTGCGAGCGTCCCAAATCCAAGCCCATTTTTCCTCCCGTTGAACCTCGGGGCGGCTCATGAGCAAAGCCTCAAATTCCACGCCGTGCTCGAGAACCGACTCGATGGTCCTGTTGATGAGATGTATCATCTTTATATCGTTTGGAGGCTTGACAGGCACGTGAAGAATGCTGCTCCGATTGATTGATCCACCAATATTTGGGCCATACGAAGTTGGCGGCGCAAAGCCTCGATGGAAGGCATGCTGTGTTGTCGCGTTACCAGGTGCTGTCGGCTGTGATACAGGCTTGGCACCAAAAGGTTGCGATCCGGCAGATGTGCCACCCAGAGTCGATGTTGTTGCGGTTGCTACCGTTGAGGATAGATGCCGGTGCAACGACAAGTAACAGCCGTAACCCAGGTAGCGATTTTGTAGTGAGCTCACGACTGCATCCAGTTCTGTTGCTGGCGTGTCTGGCGATAGTGTGACAATGGCCACGGCGCATTTCTTCTCCGTGCCCGAAGGTCCCATAGGCGGTAAGATCTTGACGTGTTCGACATTGAGGCTTGTCGGGATCAGTGACTTGATGAAGGCAGGCGATGTTCCAGGCGGCAGCTGAGAAAGACGCAACGTGGGTCTAGCCACTGCGACTTCCTCGGCTCTCGAGTCTGATTTGGCTTCGTCCTCGTCGTCACTGTTGTGGAAGACCTTGGCGACCGAACTTGGTTCTTCCCTTTCCTCGAACCCGAGCCTGCCATCTCTGTCCCTCTCCTGTCGGTATGCGTCGAAGCCCCTCTTCCTTCCAAGCGAGCCAGGCGAAGGTCCCAAGCTTCCAGGACCGCTCTTGAAGCTCGGAGTAGGACCTAGACTACCTGGGCCACTCTTAGGATTGGATGCGCCAAAGTGTCGCCTAGATGGTGCAGGTGCGCCCAACGGAGTGCCGCCGAACCCAGGCACCTTGGGCTGGGGTCTTTGTGAAGGCATCGAGCCAAACCGGCCGGTTCTCGGGTCGTCATCGTCATCGTGGTCGAAACTCTTGACAAAGTCTTGGTATACTGCAGCGGTCTCGGCAGCCTCGCGGGCCTTCTTTGCTTCGGCTTCGGCTCTCTGCTTCTCGAACGCGGATTGCTTGGATGGTTTCTGGAGCTTCGCCTCCACGTCGGGAAATTCGACGAGGTCTTTTGCCGATGACATCGCTACCGGTATAGCCTTGAAGCTTCTTGTCGCATAGTCAGACTCGATAGGAATCTTGCGGGTTCGGAACGCGCGTAGTCGTAGATCGCAGTTGACGGTATTCGTGAAGTTGCAGGAGAAGTTCAGCGCAGTGCTCTCTGTAAGTGCGCCCGTAGACCTGTCGCGACTTGTACAGTGTTCTTAGCAGATATGCCGGGTTCCTCGTACTGTTCTGCTGCCACCTGCTGCTGTGGCTTGACCCACTTGAGCCACACTTTCCTGACTTCGCACCTTGTGTGTACTTCACCCTGCGGTCTGCTTGCTGGTACGAAGCTCGGTGTTATTGAGTTTACAGCTTCAGTGGATGCTTCAAGCCACGATGTAAAGCTGAAGAAGACACGGCAGAGTGTATGTAAGCTAGGCAGTAGCTTACGGAGATGTTTCTCCCAGCTATAAAAGAAGAACCACACAACCTAACTTTTGAGATATCACCACACTATCTTCTGCGTCCCAGTGCTCTCGTAAGACCTGCTCCAAACCGCTTAGGACGACGGAAATACCGAAAGACACCAGTAGATATTCCCAACACGTCTTGCTCTACACTGACGGTAGCACCTTTACACAATAAAGAGGCTTTCCAACACGTCTCTTGTCAACATGGACCCTGCCATAGATCTCAACAACATGAACACAGCCAACTCGACCGATGTTCTTTCCCAGCACGTCCAGGAAGAAGGGCATGCAGGCTCCACCCGTCCATTCGAGCTTATATCACGCACCGACTGGATGAGATTAATGTATCACACAACTTCTCAGCGCGGATCGACACCTCCAAGTAGGGAATATCTCTTACCGCGGGTAGACACCGTTGATGAATTCATGCAGTGGCGGCAAAGTTTTGTTCAACTAACCGTATTCTTCGACAATTGGTTTCTCCAATTCATTTTCAGCATCTTCGACTTCTTCCGCCTTCAATATCGCATCTTGGTCACTCATTGGAGTGAATACTCAAAATGGGAAAAAGAGTGCAACAAGAATCCTTGGGGGGAACTGGGAGGGCCAGATTGGATTTCAAGACGATTCCCCTAACCCCAAGTGGAGGGCTAAACTTGTCGTGGAAGTGAAGGATATAAACGGGATGGATATGGGGTTCCTCATCCGTCAAGATCAGGCTGTTTGGTCGTGGAGAACCGAACCACCTCACGCGGCTTCCTTTTGGGATCAACCAAGACATCAAGATGTGGTGATTCCCATCAAAGCAGAGCCACAATGGTAGTCTACGACTTCATTGGAATGGGTAGTCGTACAGTACTATTTCTTGCATAGTCATCGAACGATGGAAACTTCAAAGGCAGGCTTATGAGCCAGACAATTGTTCTTTATTCCGTTCTTATGAAAATGTACCTATCCGGCCCTAAAACCAGTTCTGACCTCCCAAAGCCTATGTCCTTAATTAGGATATTGCGGATCACATTGCTTCTTTCTAGCCTCTCTCGTCGTCTTAGCTTCCCCCAGTAGCTTCGGCGGGGTATTATCCCTAGGGGTATAAAATACAGCTCGAGAACGGTACCGAGCGTTATATTTATAAGAATATCTTGGGAGGTAAGGTAGGCGATCGTCGCCCACGCTCTACTTTCAGACTCATTTCTTTTCTTTCAATAACTTCCAGAAACATCTCTCAACGGCTATCAAGCGCGCAGCTAAGTACTTCTCGGCTGCCTTCTTAATCACATTCCCGGATAATACATATAGCCCTGTCATAAAGGCAACATGGCCTGTGTTTCCCTCCGCCCACCACCATCAATAACAACACTGCTTACCACCTTGCGGATCTAGTCAAGTGTTCAAAAATCCAAAAAGACAAAAGAGTTCACCTCCCCTCCCCCGGTGCCGAGCTGGGGGCTACATCTCTGGTGCTCATGCTGGGATTCGAACTTGGGAACCCGTATGCGCTGAGCCTGTCGTCGAGTAGGCTGGTTAGTGAAATTTGCTGACCATTAAACCATTCCACCACCCACGCCACAGTTTAACCTGACCCTCGACCTAGGGGGCGCCTGCTGTGCTGATGACAGTAATGGAACTGAGGGGGGGCACACACTCTTCTCGTGGACAATATGTGGATGGGAGGATTCGACTGTCGTAGACTGGACCCCACAGAGTCATCGAAGCCGCATCAGACGTATCATACTAGATCACAAACACCACCAAGTCTCGTAAGGGGAAGAGAAGAAAAGTCTACATCTCGGACCTAGAGATATATATTATCAGGCAACCTCGAATCTAAATCAAGAAGCTTATCAATAAAATGTATATTACTATATAAATCAAAAAGAACCGCTGTATATATCTCTTTTGTTCAAGAAAAAAAGAAAACACGTCCCTTGCGTTAATGAAAGAGCGAGAGTAATAAGCAAGTATAGCGCCAGATAAATAGCAAATATATTAATGAGGACGGATCCCGGCGGAGGCGTGTGTGTTATCAGTCGAGAGCGGCCTGGGTTAGGCTATCGTATGATCGGTCAGGCTAAGAGGTGCGAAGCACTGCTGTGTGGACGGGCAATCCTTTGGGCTTGGTAGCTTAGTGTTTGTGACGCCTCGGGGCCAGTGAACTCAGCTGGATATTTGAAATGGGGCCAAACCACGGCCCTTACTATATTTTTCCTCACTCTCTCACGGCATTTGGACATTTCATCACACAAGATCTCATTAAGTGCCGATACCCTTCCTTCTCGGGCATCCATCGAGGATACGCCCGAGAATACTCTAGCGCGAGATGACCACGAATAACAGGCATATTCTCTAGCAACGCCATTTCAGTATACGCAAGTTCCGGGCAGAAAAGGGGAGAAGCCATTTGTCCACTGGCAATACAGTTCGGTTAGTTCTCTACCGCAAGAAATAACACTGGATATGACTTTATCCTCTGGTAACATTGTGTGCCTGGTACTTTCGAATGGAAGAGGAGGCAAGGCCGACACTTATACTCCTGACCGGCCGGGATTGGCTGCCTGGATGCCTCGAGTATGGACATCAGGAGATAGACATTCGTTCTCAGATTGTCTCCCCTACCGATACCCGTTGCTTGGCTATACGAACATCCCGAGCCGAGATCAGACCGCCAGCATCTGTGCCCTGGTATTTTGCACATAAATGAACGTCATGATACTTCTTGGACGTTCTCCGTGAACTATAAGTTAGAAATAACTAATGTCGAGGTCAGTGGTCAACAGCCTTGAATCCAGTTTACATGGCGACGCAATATCAGCACGGCCTTACTGTAGCCACCTGTAATAACCTTCCTTCGCCCAGGAATAAGACCACTGGGCGTGCCAAGCATGGAGGGACAGCGATCACGGGAACCAAAAAGAGGGACACGAGCTGTTGTTGTTGTCGATCTTTCCAAGATCCCACTTCGTGAGAGTATCGTGATATTGAGACCAACCCATAGGCCCAAAGAGAAACTAGGCAGATTTCGCTCTACCCACATAACCGGACCGGAAACCCAAAGAAACAAAATACTGAACGATGGATATCACCGCCAAGAAATCCACAAAGCCCCTTTTTCTTTTCTTTACTCTCTCATCATGATCGAGGCGAACTCGTCGTCTATGAAAAGTAAAGTCAGTATCCATCAACAACTTTCCCTCAGTCCAGCTATGCTAGCTAGGCTGGAGCTGAGGGAGAGAGGAGGAAAGTGAACGGGATCATCTTACAGTCAATTGATCCATCGCCATCCTTGTCGGCCATTTGAATCATCTCATCAATCTCCGCCGCAGTCATATTCTCACCCAAGGAGGTGAGAACGTGGCGCAGCTCCTCAGCCGAGATGGTGCCGCTTCCGTCTCGGTCAAACACCTTGAAAGCGTTCTTGAGCTCCTCCTCGGCATCGCCGACCTGCACCTTTTGCGCCATCAAGTTGAGGAACTCTGGAGAGAGAAAGCCCGTCAGCACAACAATGTCCCAGAGGAGCATCTCGAGGAAGACTCACCATTGAAGTCAATGGTGCCGTTGTTGTCGGCGTCGACCTCGTTGACCATGTCGTTCAACTCGGTGTCGCTGGGGTTGAGGCCCAGGGACCTCATCACCTCGCCAAGCTCCTGGGCGGTGATGTCACCTGCAGGGACAATGTCAATTTCCGTTGATGGGATGGGAAAAGGTAATAGAGGTATCGCATATAAAACAAGAAGGGTAATGAATGAAAAGAGCAAGATGAGATGGAAAAAAAAGGGGTCTAAGCCAGCTCCCCTCTTCCCGCGCCCATCCTACCAAAGAGGGTTCAAGTCGAGTTTCAATAACCCCCCAGTTTACCGGTGGCAGGAGGCGAAGCAAACCAAGATAATAAAGGGTTCATCGGAGTAAATAAAAACTAACCTGTTCCATCCTTGTCCTATTTTGCGCAGACAAATCGTCAGTAAAGATGATCGATTTGAGGTTGGAGGAATTTATTGCGCAAGCTCTACACAATGCGCCTCCAGCCTGATGGAAAGGGGGAGTGAGGGGCATTGAGGCAGCCCAAGTGACGGAGAGAGCTCGGAGGGGTGAGTGAGAACTTACGAAGAGGTCAAACACCTCCTTGTACTGCGCCCTTTGCTCCTGAGTCAACTGTGCAGCCTGTCAAACGCATGTTAGCTGCAGCTCATCTGATAGTCTCTCTCACACAAGACTGGCGATCCGAATCTCACCATCTTGTTTTTTATTAATATGTGGCTGTTTGTTTTTGGGTGATGGGATTTTGTTTGTGAAGGAAGATTTGGGTGAGGGTGGTTTGAGACAGGGAAGACGGCGTGGGACAGCTGAAAGCGGGGATGTGACCACGAACCCCGCACGGTGTGGGCGGTGGGAAGAGCAAAAGGATTCATACGGTCTTGGTACAAAGAGCCGTGAGGAACAAAATGGTGGGCTGGGCTGGCCATGGTCCAGGTTGCATCAACGCTTCCTTGTTTAGAAGCCCAACGGTCATGATTAAGTCAGCCTTGTGGTGATGTGATATCTGTCTGGACCTGTTGCTGTGTTTGCTGTGCGTGCTCAGGCGATGAATGTATAGCAGCCAATAGTGGAACATCGGACCGCACAGCGCAAGGCTTGGTTGGAGTGCCTGCTTTCTGCTACTTGCCTATCGTTCTTGGTTCCATTCTCTCTATCTCAACCTCGCAATTTATCGACGTCTTGTAGCTCACATCGTCATAGAACAATCATTATCGTGTGAACAGCAAAAAAATCAGAATGGCAAAAATCATCAGGGGCCCAACCGCGATTCGAACGCGGGGCCTCGCCCATTCAAGCTATGCTGAAGGGTTTTTAAACCCGAAGGGCGAATCATACCTCTAGACCATTGGGCCTGATATTGTTGAATGAAATTTTCAAGCACGAGCGAGCCTAAGTCCACGAGCGCGCCTGCCTGGTATCGAGAGTGCAAAAGATAGGGAAGGAGGCAGTCTCTAGATCCAAGTTGGGGGACAGTGGCGGCTATTTGAGCTCAGCCCGACAAGCCCAACGCACTGATTTCATTTCCCGCCATTTCATTGCCTGCCAGGATATGACATCGATTATCTTCCGTCAACCATCGCTCATCGCCGAGTGAAGCCCAAGACAGCCAACGGTCTGCTGCACAACTATCGTCAATTGCCATTCTCCTCTTGAGAGGAAAGAAAACCAACACATCCACCCACCCACCGCCTACATCGGAAAAGCCAAGTCTTGCCAGGTTGGAAAAACCACGCGACCACGTCCGTCTAGTACTGCCGCAACACCTAACCCACCGCCAAACCTTTCCCTTCATGCAAGTGTCGGCCGACCTGCAAATCAACCTTACCGATCCCGACTATTCCCAACTGGCGGAACCCCCACTAACACCATTGACCTTACATGATGACCCCTCCAGACCACTCCTGGTCACAGGGGAGGGCAGAAATTGGGAGAAGAAAGACACCGGTCGGCGCCCCCGCCAAGCAAGCCCGCACTCCAGCAAACTCCCAGGCCTGTCCCTCGTCCGGGGTGGAGGAAAAACTTACGATACACCGATGAAATGACCCCGCCAACGCCATTTCCAGCGAGCAAGTCGACGCGAGACCTACCTTACTCCCGGGAGTCGGGAGACACTACCGACCTCCCACCCAATTCGATAACCCAGCCCAGACTCTCCCCCAGCAGAGGAAAAGGAAAAAAAATTTGATCTCCGATAACGCCCTTCCCTCGTACGTGTGGCCGCGTGCGGTGAGCTTTCCGCACCGCCAATTCCACTCCCAGAGATCGACCCGCACTATTATTTCTTCGTCCTATCCTATCCGTCGCATTTCTTAAGGTAATGTTTTCTCTCCTACCCTTTTGGCTTCAAAGAGTCTCGAAAGTACCTCTGCCTTACCCCGTGTGATCTCCCTGCCTCCCGCTCCCGCGCCGGGTACCCGCTCCGATAGCATACGAAACTCCCTCCACGGCATAGCCCCTCCCACAGACACCAACACCAGACGAGAGCCACAAGATGCCCTCCGACCCGGCGGCGGCTGCGGCGACAGAGCCAGCACCCTCCTCAATTCTCATCATCGGCTCCGGCGTCTTCGGCCTGACCACAGCCTACGAGCTCGCCCAGCGCCCACGCTACGCCTCCACAAAGATTACAGTCCTCGACCGCTCTCCGATCCCCGGCCCCAGCGAGGACGCCGCCTCCGTCGACTCCTCCCGCATCATCCGCGCAGACTACGCCGACCCGGCCTACGCGACCCTCGCCGCCGAGGCCCAGACAGAATGGCGCAAGACCTCCCACCCCTCTGACCTCGGCGCGGAGGGCCGCTACAGCCAGTCCGGCCTCTGCCTCGTCGCCGACCCTGTCGCCACAGCCTCGACATCGTACTTTTCCTCCTCCTCCGCTTCAGCAGCAAAGACCAACGCCGACGCCAAGCAAAAGGCCAAAAAGACCTCGCTCGAATACGTCCGTGAAAGCTACAACAATGTCGTCTCTCTGGCAGGCAAGGATGGCGACAAGATCATCAAGGAGCTGCCCACCCCCACAGCCATCAAGGACTACCTCGGCACCCCCGAGGCCCCCGGCACATGGGGCTACATCAACCCGCTGGCAGGCTGGGCCGACGCCGGCGCCTCAATGTCCTACCTCGCGCGCAAAGTCGTGGCCCTCGATCGCGTCACCTTCGTCTCGGGCGTCGCAACCCGCCTGAACTACACACCCGACAAGTCAACCGTCACAGGCGCAACCCTCCAAGACGGCTCCGTCCTCTCCGCCGACCTCGTCGTCGTCGCAGCCGGCGCCTGGACCGGCGCCCTTGTCGACCTCTCCGGCCAGGCCATCGCCACAGGCCAGGCCGTAGGCTACATCGACATCACCCCCGACGAGCTCGAGGTCCTCCGCAAGATGCCCGTCACCCTCAACTTCAGCACCGGCCTCTTCATGATCCCCCCCTCGGGCCTGCAACTCAAAGTCGCCCGCCACGCCTTCGGCTACCTCAACCCGACCGCCATCCCCCACCCCTCGCCCCAAACCCCGCCCTCGACAAAGTCAACAGTCTCCCTCCCGGCAACCCACCTCACCGACCCGAACCTCAAATTCCCCGCCGAAGGCGTCGCCGCCCTCCGCAAAGCAGTCCGCACCATCGTGCCCATCCCCGCCATCCACGACCGCCCCTTTGTCCACACCCGCCTGTGCTGGTACACCGACACCCAGACGGGCGACTTCCTCGTCTGCCACCACCCCACCGCCCGCAACCTCTTCGTCGCCACCGGCGGCAGCGGCCACGGCTTCAAGTTCTTGCCCGTGCTCGGTCGCGAAATCGTAAACGTGCTCGAGGGCCGCGGCGACGAGGTCTTTACCGAGAAGTGGCGGTGGAGGGAGGTCAAGAGCAAGGCGGACGTGACGGATTTGTACGAGCACATCATGACGGAGGACGGTAGCCGAGGAGGCATACCTGGTCTCTTGCTGAAGCAGGAGCAAGCCAAGTTGTAGACGGAAGAATTAACACCCATCCATCCACCCAATGGAATCGCATTGATGTAAGTATATGCTGAATGTAGATACCATGTAGCGACCGTAGACATAAAGCTGTTGAAAATGTACAGTCATGAAATAATATCAAGAGCCACAGGGAATAGAGCTTGCGTTGAAGTAGTTGTGATTTTCAAGTCTTTTACGAGATGTAATGAGTACGTTCGACATTAGTATGTAGCTACGTCAGTCACTAGTCACTATCACAAGGCAGACAGAGATGTAATAGAAACCGGGTGTTGGCATTGTACTAAAAGAAAATGCCGACTTATCAACTCGAATCAAACTCGCAGACTGAACGTAGAGTAAGACTTGAGTGATCGGTTATGTCGCCTAAAACTAGGCAACGATCATTGCAAAACCGGTTTCCCCCCTTCCACCAGCAGTCCCTCCCGACCTACTGTCCAGGAGGCGACTTCAACTCCGTCTCATCCCCGTTGATCATCCCCCATCCGGTCCGAGACCCCAATGCATCTAAGTCGAGTCCATTAAAAACGGCAAGGTCGACCTGCGCATCTGCCGTCGACGGTGCCACGAGCAGTCTATGTAGTGCCGCGGAATGAGAAATCTTGTTCTTTTCATTTGAATCAACCACCTAACCGGAAACTTCCGGCCCAGGTTACCTCCTGTACCAACGCCAATGCAATGCAACGGAAAAGATGAAGTGAGCAGAACGGGCGTCGATGATTGTGTCACAACCATATTGCCAGGTGACGGACGCTCGATTTTTTTTGGGTTGTGTGTGCGAAAAAGAATTCGTGGTATCGTGAAAAAAGTGTCTAGTCGTACAAAGTCGGTGGTTTTGTGTATGGTGGTAGTACATCGACTGGGTCAATGATCTATCCATGTGTTCAAGTGTCTGTTTAGACCTTGCGGAAATCTGAAGAATAATTAGTAAGTGAAGACCGGAGATTAAGAAAAGGTACTTACCCTGAAGCACGGGATAGATCATCTCGAAGGCCTGGTAAATCTCCTCTCGCACCTTGGCACCGGTGAGGACGATCTTGCCGCTGACGAAGATAAGGAGCACAATCTTGGGCTTAATCATGCGGTAGATAAGACCAGGGAACAGCTCAGGCTCGTAAGAACTGAAGTTGTGATGGCGCGAAGCAAGACCCTCCAAGCGAATGGGGAACTTGATATCGCAAGAGCCGACAATGTTCTGGATCTTGAAGTCCGTGAACTTGGCGTTGAAGCCGAGCTTCTGGATGATACGGGCGTACTTGCGAGACGCAAGCTTCGAGTCATCCTCGGACTTGGCACCGGTGACGACCATCTTGCCGGAAGCGAAGATCAGGGCAGTGGTCTTGGGCTCACGAATACGCATGATGACGGCAGCGAAACGCTGTGAAGTCAGAGTCAGCGACAGTGCAACTCGAGTGGGCATATTGTCTCACCTTGGGGTTGTACTCTGCGTTTCTCGCGTGCAGGGCGATCGTCTTGAGGTCCAAGCGGCAGTCCAAGTTTACCGTGGCAACGATGTTCCTTGAGTAGGCGAGATAAGCCTCATTGAGCAGAAAAAAGATCACTCGTGATATACATACTGCAACGTAGGAGTCAAGCCACTGCCACCCTGTGTCGCGGCAGGCGTCGCAGCAGGTGTCGCGGGTGTCACCCCGGTACCGTTTGCAGGCTGCTGGCCGTTGGGCACAGGGATTTGTCCGTTGACGGCCGCCTTATCGCCGTTCGCCTGGGGAGGGAGCTCGTGAGCGCCGCCGGGGAACGAGAGGGAGCCGGGCGCGGTGAAAGCCTTAGCCTGCGCCGCACTCGTGGGATGGGTCTGAATCGCCTCCATGATTGCGGTGGATGGATGATGACCTGAAATCGAGAATAAGAGCAGATCTGAAGCCTTGCTAGTTAGTCTCGTTTCTCGAATCGATTGTAATAATGATAAAGAGTATGAAGTGTGGATCCAAAGATGGGGACTGTGAAGTGATAATGAAAAGGTGTGAAAATGGGTCAAGCGCGGCAATATTGTGTTGATGGGAAGCTTTGGTGAAGTAAAAGATGCAACATTATGTTCGGAGGTTGGGGGGCCAATCACAGGCGCCAACCACCCCCCACGGGTTTGTGGTAGATGGGAAGGCACGACAGAGATGATGGGCAGGCAAAGGGAGGAAGGCACCCCGACCATGACAAGAGAGGAGAGAAAAGGAAGGAGGGCATACCAATTGTTGGAGATGAACAAATAAATGTCTCCCCTACAGTATCTGCTGGGCAGTAGGTATGTAGGTATGCGCGTGTATCTTGCGATGCGACTTTTCTTGCGATCAGTGCCGAGCTTGTGACAGCGGTGGGAACGGGATGCAAATGGATCAAATGAGGTAGGTCGACGAGAAGGTCGTGGGTTTCGTAGGCGTCGCTTCGATAATGTCGCGAATGACCCAGATACCAGCAATCAACTCGACGTCTCTGGATACCTCGTCACGGTTCAAAGCACGGTGTCTCTATTCGGCGACGGTGCGTGCGATGTCTACAGAGTGCAACGGACTCGTTCTCGACCTGGTGTGTCGTCGGAAGGGGTTCGCGCGGGAAGTCTGACGAAGATATGTCTCGAAAGGAACGTATTCCAGTTCTTTTCTCGTCTCAGAGTACGAGATCCGGGGGGACACTTTCAGTTAAGAAGGTATACCGCCTGGGGGTTCTGAGGATTGACGGGTTCGTCGGGTGGTTAATAGGGAGAGGAAGAGAGAGTAAAAGTCGACTTCCAAGATGTGGAAACAAGAGTCGCGGCAGCGAGCTGTGTTGTCCAGAAGGATCGCGAGGAAGTAGAGTGTAGGTTGATGACAGCAGATGTGTCTATCGTGGATATCGGACTTGTGGATGTTGCGATGACGATGACGACAAAGGACGATGCGAAATCGTATCTCTGAGTCGTGATTGGAGGATTGGGGATGGATTGAGTGGGGGTGGAGAAGGAAGATTAGAAAGGCCGAACGTGAATGGATGACTACGCAAGGCCGTCGGTCGGAGCTTCCGCGCAAGAATTTCGAAACAAGCGGGTTGGAGGGAGGCCTGCCTCTTTATAATTTTGGCCATGGCCTACCTGAGCAGTCGCCCCAACGACACCCCCCTGCCACACAACCCAGGGGCCCCAGGCAGCCAGTGCGCCGTGGCGGTTGGTCCTGCTTGACATTGCTTGTGCTTAGCGGCCACGCTAAGGGCATGCACCCAATCAGCGCCTTGGAAAATCTTCATTCTATCTCCTTCCTGTCCCCATGTACCCCTGCTGTGACTACCCCAGCCCCTGAAGTATCGCAGCACCGCGTTTAAGGTCTCTGTACTTTGCATTGTGAAATCCGTTAATTTTCAACCAAGTCGCTCTCTTTTTTTGCGACAATGCATTCTGGCCAGTGCTTACCCTTCCAGTTCCACGCCTTCCAGTCTTTCTTGATTGAATCTTTGCCTCTCCTTGCGTTGCTTTGCCTTTTACTTGCCTCTGGCGTGCCCTTCTCACAGCTGCCCAACCTGCCACTGGCCAGCTCTTGGACGTCCCTTCACCACAGAGGCTGAGATGCCCTCCCTGATGGATCCTACCTATGTCATCATCAGCTGCCATCCTTTTTTTTTTGTCTTGTGCTCTGTTGCCCCGGAGCCTGCTTTCCTGCCTTCTATCCGTAAATTTTTCTTCCCTTTCTTTTTTATCGTTGCCCCCTGCCAGCTGTGACTCGACTCGCTTGCCTAGGTTCCTGGCCCATCCCTGATGGCCACACTTTTTCCGTCAACGCAACCCGGCGTGATCATCCACTCCGATCGCAAGCACTTTTCTTTCTTCCTCGCTTTCATTTCGGAGCTGTGGGCAAACTGCGACCTTGACCTACCGCTTCCCTACTACAGACACGGCTTTCACACACTTGTCAGAATGCGACACTCTTTTCAGCACTGCTCGCCACGGCGGCACGACGCGACGGGTCAGCACTCAGCAGCAACAGCAACAAGACTGACATGACGGCGAAACCAACCACATCTGACAGGAGCATGACGGCGATCTCATTCGCTCCAGCCATGCGCTCAAACAGAGGAATCGGAACGAATGGCGCGTATTCGTTTGTTCACACCGCGCAGTACGGAGTATGGACTACGGATACCGCACTGCATCCCGCGACAGCTCAGCCCAAAACCCTCCAAAAATCCAGCCGGGTAATAGGCCGTGGGCCGTGTCAAGACCATCTGGACGCCAACCAAATGCAAAATCCCACTGGCGGCGCTACCTCGTACGGGTGCCGCTACCACAAACGCTACCCATAACCCATAACCCACGACCTGCCGACCCATTCCGCCATTCCGCTCGCTTCTTCCTCCTTCTTCCCAGTCTGCCAGTGCCAGGCCCGCCTGGCTGTCTGTCTCTCTCGCGACTAGCCATAGTCAGAATACTCCGTACGGATACCAGTCTGTCCCAGGCAAGCCCAAGCAACATAAGCCAGGCAGGCTCCAACAGGCTCCTCAGCGCCGCGTCAGTCAGTTTCTTTGGCAGCTGCAGCACACCCACCACGACTCCAGGAGTCCAGAGTCCAACCACTGGGGGGTGTTGGTCTGGATTGACACCGACTGGGCCCCCCCTTCCATCCTCGCCCCTTTCTGACCTGCCCCCCCTCCCCTCCCCCCTTTTTATGATTTTTCCCAATCCTCTCGTCCCAGCAACCCAAGGGCTTTCTTTCCCTCTTCCAACCCTCTTCTCTCAGTCTCCTACCACACGCTAGCGCTCTGAAACGCTGAGCCTGCCCCCTACTTTGATGGCCTCACTGACGATCACCTCCGACACGAGCTCAGTCAGTGCAAAGCGGCGGCAGCGGCAAGAACAGCAACAGGAGCGAACGGCCTCTCCGTCAAACCTGTCAGAAGGGTCACCAGACCACGTTGTCGGCATGTCGCCCGGACGCGAGGACACGACACAAACGCGGGGACCGAACAACAAGGAACAAAAGGGACCGTCATGACCACCAGGCAGGAACGCGAAAACGGCAGCTATTTTTCATGGCGCCTGCACTGCTTTCGGGCATTCGCGGTCTGTTGGCAGGAATTTATGGGCCGCGGCAGCAAACAGACGGCTTGCGACGTGTGAGTCATTGACTTCAGACCGGCTCCAATCGGCCAGTGGCCAGCCATTGGTAAAGAGGGAGACGGGAGAAGGGGGAAGAGCATTGAGAAAAAGGGCTGGGTTTGCCAGTCTGATCAATGGTGCGTGTTTGTCGGTCGCCTCCTACTGCGTACTCTTCCCACCAGGCCCCCGCAACAAGACTGGCGCGTCAAGGTACTGGGTACGCGAGCCTTGCCACGCCGCGGCCCATCACTGGGGACTATACGCAGTATACCCATCTCTGGAACCCGAACTTTCGCCCGATGGAAAAACTCTGTCGACATCCATCAAAGAAGGTCCTTTTGCGACTTGTCTTTCCCCAAAGAGAACTGAATATCGTGTAAGTCCGCTCACCAGCAGCCAGCACCTCTTCAACTCGACCTTTTGTGTCCGCTTGACGTCGCTCTAGCCCAAGCATGGCTGGGCGTTGCTTCGCCATGGATGCAGAGAAAGGGCGCTTGCAGCAATATTACAGATGCAAATTTTATTGCAATCTTACAACAAGGTATCGGGTACCAGGTCTATCGAGAGACTGGGGGCGATGGTCCGTGCACGCACAAGTACCTCTGGATCCATTCCCAAGTCGAGGTACTTTGTCTACGTCTTCGGCTTTGCCCTCGCGACTCATGCATGTGTGAGCCCCATTGCCCCAAACCTCAGGCCAAGGTTTTTCCTTTTTTTTTTTCTTTCACACCCCAAACTCGTGCTTGCAGCTGCTCCTTGCTGGCGCTGCTTGCCAGGTGCTTGCTTTTCTATACGGTTTTAAGGCCGCATCTCGGCCTTGCGGGCCCTACCAAAGCTCCATCTGCGCTGCGACTCATGCAACTTCAAACATCAAACTCGTACTTTGTAAGTCCGACAGCCTCGTTGGAAAATGGAGGTGGCTCACCCTCATCCTCGAACTTGACACAACCACTCCCTGAGACTGTCACCGTATGTATCCTATTTCTGCCTCCATCGCGACGCCCAAGGTTTGGCTGCCCATCGCACTGCCAGTTCTCCTCGCTTTGGGCAGCGTGCAGAACCCAGCAACTGACCTAGAGTTCCCAACTAAACGTAAGAAACCAAACAAAACCCAAAGAGCTAGCTTCACGACTCAATCAACTGGCACGCAGAGCACGCCATCAGACCGAGATTCAAAATAAAGCTTCAAAAGAACGCTTGTCCGACTTGAAAGACTGCACTCCAGCCACTGAGACGGGCACTGAACCCGCATTCTTTACATATTTGCAATGTGTCCCGTAGAAAAAAATCGTGGGCCTCCCCCCCTCCTCCCCCGTTCCAGCCTCGCCCAACGCATGGAGTTCATGAACCTCAAGTGTCTCGCAAGTTCGCATCGCACCCTTGGTTGTCTCCGATGTCGTTCCCTTCTCACCCCCTCCCACCTGCCCCCTCCCATTCCCGCATTCCGCCCGACTCGGGGTCTACCTCCGATCGGGTGCCACTCCGCACAGTCGCAACTTGAGCACGACCTGGAAGAAATGTTATTTTTCCTGCAGGGACTCTCTCTGTCTCGCGATGTACGTGTCGACTTGATTCAGCAATGGCCCCTTCCTCCCTCCCTCCACCTTTCCGCTTCTCACGTGCGGGAAGTATATACTATCTTATCCATCCATACCCTCCATCGTCAATCACGAGCCGACGAGAACGACGTCGCGACAGTAGGGACCCCTTGCCTTTTTCGCGCCCCTTGTCTTTCCAGAACTTCGACGTCAAAGCAGGCAAGGGACGCGTTGGGCATTCGTCTGATATGCCGCACACTGGGCACACACTGGACACATGCACACATACACATACACGCTCCAAGTCGGGGCCAGCTTGCCGGACCAGCCTAGACGGGAACAATCGCTTGTGTCGTCATTCATATGTGCAAACTGAACTGCCCAGTGGGTGAGTAAGGAAAGGGTATCGTTGTATCCTTCTTTGCCGACGCGGACTGATAAGGATATCCGTACTGCGTAGTCAGTTATTGCTGCTGCTGCTGGTTTGGATTGTTAGACGGTCTCTGCGCAATCACATGGCAAACTTCGACAATTTCTTTGTCATGATATTCTGCCTTTTACTCATTTTTGACCGGATATTCCGACTACGAATACAACCTCCACCCCAAGTGCGGTAACACAAAACCCCCAATTGACACCGGTATTGTATTCGGGAAGAGGCCTCTATATGTTCAAAGCCCATGCTCTCGACACTCCCTTGCACATGTTGCCCCAACTCTTCCATCTCCCTCCGTTTTGAGCAATATCGTATAAAGATATCCCTGCTATAGTCCTTGGTTCGATCTTATGGGGGAAAAGATGTGACGGTCTTTTGTCCAGATCAGATGAGAGAAAGAACATGGTTTTTCTATCCGGTAGTAAATACTCCCAGCCATGATGCTGATGGATATATAAAAGAGGTCTCATGACATGTAGTACTTGGGACCCTCGCCACCCTGCGGGACCTGCCAGTTGATATCCTGGTTTGGCGCCTTGATGTCGCACGTCTTGCAGTGGATGCAGCTATAAATGTAAAAAGTCAGTAAAACGTCCTCTCGTGATAGGAGACCTGTAAAGGAAACGTACTTTTGCGCGTTGATCTGGAACCGCACCCCGAGCTCCTTGGTCTCGTCCTCAACATATTCATACACGCCCGCCGGACAGAACCGGTTCTCGACGCCCTTGAACTTGGGCCACGTCTCCCGCGTGTGCTTCTCCCAGTCCTTGACCTGCAGGTGCACCGGCTGGTCCTCCTCGTGGTTCGTGCCCGTGCGGCTGACGCTCGTGAGGATGTCAAACGAGATCTTGCCGTCCGGCTTGGCGTATTCAATCTTGGGGAACTTGTCCGCGCTGCCCGTCGCCGCGTGGTCCGGCGTCTTGTGCTTCAGCGTCCAGGGGACGCGACCTTTCAGGACGTACGCCTCGAGACCGGAGTAGGCGATGCCGCCGTACAGGCCCAGCGGGGTGTGGAATGAGGGGCGGAAGTTGCGGACTTCTTTGAGTTCTTTCCAGATGGAGGATTCGCGGAGCTTGTCTTCGTAGTCATATAGGAAGACGGTGTCGCGCGGCTTCTCCTCGGCCTCCTCTCCCTCTCCCTCCTCCGCTACCGCGCTGCTGCTGGACGACGAGGAGAGTGCGTTGAAGGCGGCCTCGGCGGCGAGCATGCCCGACTTCATGGCGTTGTGCGTACCCTTGATCTTGGGCAGGTTCACGAATCCAGCCGAGTCACCAATCAGCGCGCCACCGGGGAACGCGCACTTTGGGATCGACTGGAACCCGCCCTCAATCAGAGCGCGCGCGCCGTATGTGAGGCACTTGCCACCCTCGAGGACCTCCTTGTACATGGGGTGGTGCTTCATCTTCTGGAACTCGCCGTAGGGCGAGACCCAGGGGTTCTCGTAGTCGAGCGCGACGACGAGGCCGATGCTCACCAGGTTGTCCCCGAAATGGTACATCCAGCCGCCGCCGTACAGGTCCTTGGACAGCGGGTAGCCCATGGAGTGCGTGATGGATCCCTTTTGGAACTTTTCCGGCTGCACCTCCCACACCTCCTTGATTCCCAGCGCGTACGTCTGGTGCTGGCTATCGCGGCGCAGGTCGAATTTCTTAATGACCTGCTTGCTCAAGCTGCCGTGACACCCCTCGGCAAAGAGCGTGCAACGCGCGTGGAACTCCATGCCGCGCTCAAACGCGTCCTTTGGCTTCCCGTCGCGGCCGATACCGAGGTCGTTTGTCGCGACGCCCTTTACGCTGCCGTCAACCTCGTTGTAGAGCACCTCGGAGGCGGCGAAACCAGGGTACACCTCGACGCCGAGCTCCTCGGCGCGGTCGCCTAGCCACTTTGTGAACTGGTTGAGCGAGACAATGTAGTTCCCGTCGTTGTGCATCTGCGGCGGGGTCGGTAAGGGGATCGCGGCCGACTTTGTGAGGAAGCGCATGCGGTCACCGCCGGCGGGCGTGGCGTACTCGAAGCGGTCCGGGTTGTCCTCGGACAGCCAGTCCGGGATGAGCTCGTCAATGGCCGTAGGCTGGATGACGGCGCCCGAGAGAATGTGGGCGCCCATCTCGCCGGCCTTTTCGAGGAGGAGGACGCGGAAGTCTTCGTTGCCGGCTTCGTTGGCGAGCTGCTTGAGTCGAATCGCGGCGCTGAGACCGGCGGGGCCTGGAGCGTTGAAGGCATTGTCAGCTCAATTGGGATCCAGACACAAAATGTATAGCACGAGGGCGTTGGGGGTGAAATGGTTCCGTACCGCCGCCTACAATGACAACATCGACCTCATCTGCTTCACGCTCAATCGCTGCCGGATCGAATTCGTCGTCCTCATTGCTTCGTCGTGTCCTACTCGTCGTGAAAGTGCGTGCGCCAAGAGGCCTGAAGATCGTAACGCCCGCAGAGCCCCGTGTAGATGGTATACTGCCAGTCGTGCTTCTTGACTGGGTTGTTGAGCTGGTGGTAGCCGTGGTGGCGAGTCCTGCTTGAGCGGGACGTGTAGCCCGGAATCGACACCTTGAGAGGTTGCGCGTGCTGCGCTGAAGACTCCTCGCGAGAGGTGACGCCGAGGTATTCATCCTGGCTACGGAAATATGTGCGCGAGCGTATGTGTATGCTTTAGTTGATCGTGTCGTAGATCGGGATTGTCCCTTTCTAGTGAACCGGACTACCACAAGGAACGTCCAAGTCGGCGTGGGCGTGGTTTCGCTCCGTTCGTTTCCCTCGTGCGCTTTGAGAGAGGGAAGCCGAGGGAAAGCTAGTGACGCGGGCGCAATTGGTGTTTCTCTCACTTGACCAAGTCACCTTGTGGTTCGTCAATTAGGCAGTGGTGTGTGGTTGAAGTCTAGCAGCGGAACCTAGAGAAGCAAGGAAAGAAAAATGGCGGCGGATCTTTTTCAATTACAGTAGACGGCACACTGGGGATCTTGACGAGCTTCGTTCCCTCCCCCCGTCTCTAATACGTAATGCGAGGGGTGGTCAAAATGCTTGTAACTTGCCGCCCACCAGCTCGGGCCCTGTGGTTTCCTGTGGGTGGTGATAGCCGAGAGAAACCGGTCGATGGTGTTTGGACTCGGTCAGTACTTGCACAATACAGCCATCTGTAGCTCAACCAGTAGGTAGACCCTCGGTATCCTTGGATGCTCTTTTTACAGCTGAAAGGTACCTACGTATCAATGGCCGGGAGAAGCCGAGTGACTTCAAGCAGGTCAAGTAACCGTCGGACGCTGCAAAGAGTTTAACGTCTGGGGCGCCGAGCTGCAACCATCCAATCACCGTCTGCAAATTTCAAATGTGAGCTGGGTCCCTCCGATGTCGTTTCGGCTGCAGGGGCACCTGTTGCCGTCGGCGTAGCCTTCATTTTGGCCGAACACAGAATGTTTAACACTAATAATTGCGAAGTTGAGAACAAGACATTTGTGGGTGCATTCACTCTATACAATTTTATATAATTACTGGGCACAGTCAGGCCATGCTCACATGACTCTATTGACGCTGTCGTTTTGTTTATACACCTTCGAGCGCTATCAGCCTTGGGTTCGAGTCGGCGCTATTGTCTTTGGTGTCGCTGCATAGCTGGGAGGCACATCTTCCTCTCTGGTACCCCAATCACTCTCCTTCGTGCCGACGGTCAGCTCCAACACACCGCCGTGGTAGAAGAACTCGTGGTTTATCCAATTCTTCGTGTACGGTTTTCCGTTCAGGGTGGCGCTTTGAATGTAGATACCCTCGGCAAGTTCTTTGTCATCCTTTGCGACCTTTCGGATAACAGCGGGCTTAGGACCCCGGCTCTTGAGCCGCACCTCGGGGAAGAATGGCGGGATGACGAGGTACACGCCCTGCCCTGCGACGGGGAAGAACCCCATCATGGCAAGCGCACTGAAAGCGCCCATTGCACAGTCATCATTGCCAGGGATGCCGTTGATCGTGGCGTTGAACTGCGAAGGAATGTAGCTCCGTGTGGTGCGCGAGCTGAGGCCGGGTCTACCCGCATAATGGAACTGGAACACCGTAAGGAACGCCTGTTCGTTGCCCATGTAGACAATGTTGCCGCTGTGATAGTATTCGAG